CCCCCCCCCCCCCCCCCCCCCATGTCATGTGATGTCAGTTTACCGTTTGTGTAGTCCACACAACTTTCCTAGTCCATTTCAGATCACAAAAAGAGGAGACTAAAAAGTGGAAAATATCTTACATGTTCAGTGTTCCTCACACAAATATTTCAAATGTAATACACAAGTATTATGGACTAGAATGCTGCAATGATTTTGCCATTTTAGAGCTGGATAGAGCTTCAGAGTCTTGCGGGTTTATATGAAGGTGAGTAAATGATGGCAGAATCGAAATTTTTGGATGAACTGTTAAACACTTTTTGGTGTTCACCACATTAGTGCCACAATTATACTTATATACTTATGTACGCCACGGATTATTTGGTCCTGAATAAAATAATGAGCAGAGGGATTCATTTTGACTTCCGTTTCTCTCCAAATATCACCAGTCACATTTTAGTTGTAGCAGGAGTCAACAGAGAGATGTTCTTTTATCAAAGTAAAAAAATGCATTTCTGATGCATGTGATTCAAGAATTCTAGATCTGTAAATTTCTGCATAAAGGATTTAAACATGGTAAAACGTTAACACTCTTATTGACAGCTGCAAACTAATCAAATTTGTCAAAATATTTAATACACATTTGTGGGCCTGTTTGTCATATTCATTTACAACAACAAAAAAGTGGCAAGTAAAAACACTGCTCAGACTTACACAGCATTAGTAAGATAGTAATCGGTGCTCTTATAAAACCTGTCATTAAATATGAAGAGAGAAAAAAAACAATTAAAAATAATTAAAACAACAACAAATAAATGTTATTGTATTTATAAGTCTATATAATATTAAGACAATTTATTGAATTGTAATTTTGAGTTTGTGATATCTTCATTTCATAAAAGTTTCTACACAGAGTGATGCAACCTTTACATAAAGAAAATTTAAATACATACTTTTATTAAGGGAAGAATCCATTGTCAATGTTGACAGTCCAGTTTATTCCTCTTTATCCACAGACCAGTTCAGAGGACAAGATTCCTTTACAGTTACAGAATAAACTAATTAGCAATGGTATTGACACATACCATTACAATGAATGATTTACATGTTACACAAGTTAAAACAAAGAGGCAACATTTATTGTCTAAGCATAAAGCAATAAAGGATTAAATGATGCACACATCAACACATGCTGTAGTTTGTTTGATTTAGACTGATGAGTTTCATTATGAGCAGAAAGAAAATCTTACCTGATATAAGCTGATTTTCAGTGATGCTCACCGACACAACTAACTAAAACATATTTCTGTGCTGTGATGTATGTAGATATTTTATCTGTTCATCATCCTGATAAGGAAATATGAGTCCAACTACACTGCTTCCTTCTCAAATTCAAATACAAATATATACATTAAAAACGTGTATATCCAGTTTCTTGTCAGTGCATTTCTGGGGACCTTCCACACAATGTCATACGTGTAATTTCCAATATCATGTTAGTTTCAGTTTATACCCAGTGACTTCAAGTGGATTGTGACAGTTGCTGTTGGCTGCTGCCGGTAGTTGGTCATTAACCTCAAAGCAGATTTGACTGACTAAATCTCACAAATGTTTATATTAAGTTGAAATTACAAAAATGAAAATACTGTAGCCATTCATCCAAAGTGTTAGGATTTGTGTGCCTCCTATGGTCAGGAGAAAAAGAAAGGGTGGTGGTGTAACCCTATAACATTGCAACTTGTCAAATATGATTCCATACACTCTAAAAATGCATTGCATCACTAGCTCAGATTTCGTCAACACACCGAAGGACCAGCACCAGGAGTTTTTTTGCTTGTGTTTTTTTAATGTGTAATATTAACTTGAAAATATTTAAGTTTTATTATTTTGAGTTTTTGAGGAAACTCATGAACCATAATGGAGTTTGTTATAATAAACAGGTAAAAGATTTCTGTACTGCTACTGTCTCTTGATGTCTATTGGTGTATTTATAGATAGAAAAATGTCTGACCTC